TAAAACTTTACAGAGTAAATCTTTCACCAAACACACAGAGTACCAAATGTTCCATTTGCTTTAAAACACAAACCAATGAAATGTAATGTTAGCATTTATTTATCTAATTACAAAAACCGATACAATCTAGAAGTGGATCTTAACTGCAGAGATTGCACTAAATTTTTATTCTTGGTTCTTCCCACCACCTCACCTGTAAAGTTTTACAGAAGAATGCCTCTTCTTTATCTGACAGATGTCCTAACTTTATTTAGTCCACCTTGAATTTCCTATGGACATTTCTGTAGAAATATGACAGAGAATTCTTATTAACAGCAACATTCTAAATGTATTTTTGTCACTTTTGATATATTTTTTTCCCTTTCCCGCTTTTTTAATTCAGTTTGGTAATGAGTGTATTACAGCCTGTAGAACATATGTATTTCAGTCCTAAAGTGTTATTTATGATGCCATCAGACAAGACAAAGGAAAGCATTCGTGACCAACTTCTAAATAAAACCTCACTCATTTCTAAGAATCTGAATGCCAAGCTGTTCCCTAATGTGACTGATTTCTTTGGAAATCAGTTGTATTTACAGTTGATAAAGTGTGCAAACATTATTCAACTTCATTATTTGTTCATTTGATTAGTATTGGCATGTAGCATTCTTTATAAACCCCCTACTATTTTTCTCACTAAGACATATAACATGCTAATATAAATATTTGCAAAAGTAACACAGGGGATCAGTCCAGAGCAGTTTTGTGAATATGAATAGCCATGTCACTGGCTGCATAGTGTTTACTGCTGATCATGCTTAAGCATATGAATTTCCTTGTATTTCAAGTTCACTGTGGAACTGGCCCCGTTCATAAATATTAATATGCACAGAACTGATATTTCTGCAAATGTGCAAATCCATAAACATGAAATCCTGTTAATTTGCTATAATGAGCACTGTCTTGGTTGCTGGTACCAGCTCAGTTTTATAAATCTAATGTTGTTTAATTAATTGTTTTCTCTTTTCCATAGAATCATTCTTAAATAATAGCATTTAGCTTGAAAGGGAGACCTTCATTAAATTTTCCAGTGACTTTTATGTTGTTTGTTGGTATCACCTTTCTTTGTCCCATGGCTAAGTCGTGTGACCAAACAGGTTTTGTGATTACAATGCTCTTATTTACTTGTACATAGCCTGGAATCAAGAATAGAATGCCCTATCAGAAACAACACATTTCACAGAACAAAGCTGGTATACAAGAGCATGTCTACACTACAGAGTTATTTTAAAATAACTCATATTATTTCAAAATAACAAGGTAAGCATCTACACAGTAAGATCATTATTTCGACATTATTTTGAAATAATGGGGTTCTTATTTTGAAACAATAAATCTTCATTCTGTGAGAAATAACGCCTACTTCAAAATTGCTATTTCGAAGTAGGGTTAGTGGGGACAGCACAGCTGTGCTTATTTTGAAATAATTGGCCTTCAGGGCTTGTCACAGCTGCTTTGGTGGCCACTCTGTCCACACCCCACAAAATGTGATAGTTTCCCTTCCTCTGCAGCCTTTAAAGCTGCAGGATGAAGGGAAAGGGCTCACGGCACTACACCAGACCTGCAAGCCCCATGCCACACAGCTGTCTGCAGAGGAACCATGGCAGACTCTAGCTTTCCCTCTGAGTCCACCATGGATGCAAGTGAGCCTATACCCAGCTTGGAAGCCCCACTCCAGGGGTGAAACAGGGTATCCTCCTGGCCTGGTATGGAGATCCTGCATCTCATTGAGGTCTGGGGGAGGAGACCAACATCCATGATCTCCACACCAAGAGGAAGAATGTCAAAGTCTACAGCCAAATGGTCTCCAGGCTGGCCCAGAGAGGGCACAGCCGTGCTCTGGTCCAGGTCTGGATGAAAATTAAAAAACTCCATCAGTCCTATACAAAGGCCAGGGAGCAAAGTTTCCACTCTAGGGTGGCATACCATCCTGGGAGGGGGGCAGGTCACCTCCCCCTCCCGTCATAGACTGTGACCTGTCCATGTCCATCATCAGCCTCCACAAAGGTGGGGCTGTGTAGGAGGAGGAGGAGGACAGCGATGCGTGGGAGGAAGAAGAGGGCAGTCTTGACACTATGCCTGCCCGTCAGGAGGAGGTCATCACCCTGGAGCCAGTCTCCCCCTCCCAGGACTTCTCTCAGGCTTGGACCAGGCTGGGAAGGCACTACAGGTGAGTTCCATAATTTCCTTAGACACATGCAGGGGAGGTGGTGGGCTGCGAGGGCTGCGCACTCCTCACTTGGCCTTCTCAGCCTAGGGTTCACATGTGGGTACACACGGAGCACCAGTCTGGAGCACTGAGCCCCATGAAGCTCTCACACTGGAACCTTTTGCTCCTTCTCACATAGGCCTGCCTTACTTTTGACCCCTTGATGGGACACCTTCCCACTACTACTAAGGAGGCTGGAGTCATGGGAACACACTGCAGTGCCACACATGGTACAGGCTCGTGCCCACACTCTTGAGCAGCATCTGCTCCCGGGCAAGCACTGATCTTGTGATCCCCAGCATGGGCGCCTGCCGGGGGGAGAGAAGGGAGTATAGTACCACCCTACTTGAAAAATGGCATCTGCTGCTCCCCCAACACCCTCCCCCTCTCCTTCAGTGGGCAGAGACAGCAGATCTCTCTCTGCAGACATGGCATTCACAGGACCTGGAAGGAAGCTGAGCTAGCCTGTCCCCTCCTCCTTCCTGCAGGCTCCAGTTGTGGTCAGCACCTTCCCATGGGAGGCTCCTTTAGGCAACAAATGGCCTTGCTCAAAGCACTTTGCCATCATGAGAACTGAGACCTTCGGTGTTGGCTCAGGTACTAGGGCTAGGCTTTATGCACAGTGTCTCCAGGGTGACTGCCCTTCTTGCTTTTCTTCGCAGCTGAACCAGATGCAGGCACGGTGCGTCCACTGTCTCCAGCACCATTAGCAGAGGCACCCCAGGACGACCTGGCGGGGGAACACCTCAAGTGCCTGTGTGCCCTACAACACAATTTTGAAGCAGGGTGACCAGGACAGTTCGCTGACCGGGAGGAGCACCGTGCTGACCAGGAATGGTGCCACACCAACTGGGAGCTGCTGCCCCAGCAGCAGGAAACACTATGTGCTGCGTTCCACTTGCTTGCTGCCATTGAGCACTCCTGTGGCTACGCTTCAACACCCACTCCTGTCCCAGTAACTGCAGCACCCACTCCTTCCAAGTCTCTGTAGTACCCACCCCTGCCCCCATATCCCCAGCGTCTCCTAGCCTCCCCCCTCTCCTCTCTGAGGGCTGTGCACACGAGGTGGAGTGACCTCTCAGGCAGCTGAAATGTCCCGAGGAGTCTGAGGCAGGCACCAGACCCAACCCCATCCATGAGCCCTCTTCCCCCCTCGTCCCTTCTCTTTTCCCCTCATTCCCCCCTCATGGGCTCTTTCACCAGTCCCTCCCTGGTTTTATAGTCCCCAAATAAAAAACACAGATTTTATTGTTTCACAACAAAAGGTCTGGTTTATTTTCTCTGCAGGGGATGTGGGAAGAGAAGAAAGGAGGGTGGGAGAAAAAAAGCACACGGGCAATGCAGAGGCCTCTTGTGGGGAGGCCTTGGGGAGAGTCTCACAGTGGCCTTGGCTGAAACTCTCCCTCAAGGCCTCACAGATGCACACAGCTTCACAGGGTTGCTGGAGACCCTGGGAGGGCCCCACACCACTTCCCACAGCAGGAGCAACCCCAAGTACCCCATCCTTGGCAGGGCTTTGTGAAGCCAGAACTTCAAAACCTCTAAGGACCGAGATTCCACCCTCTTCT